GTGAATCCTCTCACTCTCCGCATCTCTGGCCTGTACCCCAGTTCTGTATGAATAAATAAATAAATCTTTAAAAAAAAAGATGTATTTTAACCAAAAGTAAACATTTCAAAGCTTCAAAAGAAAGATGTACAAATGATACAACACATTTAGTATAGATAGGAAATCTTCTTACCTCAAAATCAGAGTCTTTCAGTCCTTCCTGGTGTTGACTACTGTCAGAATTATCAACCTAAACAAATAAAGGTTTCCTGTAAGAAAATATTTCTGGGCAAGCACTCCTAAATAGTAGCAATTAAATGCTGATGGTTAGTAATCCAACAACTAAAGCAGTTTTTCCTTTTTAAGCAAACAAGAGAATATCTAAACAAATGATGTGCACTATATTGAACTGACCTGTTCAAGCATAGGGAGAAAACTAACTTTTTGTAAAGAAGAATCTGCAATATAAAAGAAAACTAGTATTAAATGTGTCACCTTATTTTTCATAGTAAGTATTATATCTATGTTTATTGTCAAGACTATCAATAGTAACCTGTGTTACAGTTTCAATATCTAGTAATGGGTATTTAAATAAGTCTTCTATGTAAAGTGATTTATTACTTTTCCAATCTCCTACCTGAATCATTGTTTTCCCCATTTTTGGAGAGATTGGTCATTAGAAATGGAAAACCAAAATCATCTTCAATACATTTGCTGAAATTCTAGAAACAGATAAAGAAGTTTTTAAGCATACTGTACTGTACCACTCTGAAAACTAGCAGTGTAATATATATTATAGATGCAATAGACATCTGCTTCAAGAAATGACTTTGCAAATCTTTTAAGATACATAGTATTTACAACAGAAAACGCTTCTACTATGTAAACAAAGCAAAAAAATAAAAAGCCATTTCTCATATAGGATAAAGCTAACATATAAATTATGCAATACAAACTTTCTAAGTATTCCAGACAGTTAGTCATTTTAATTCCTATACAAAATAGTTTTAATTTTATGAAAATCCTTCCCTTGAGAGAATTGATAATTTTCTTCACTGAAAAACATTATGTTGTTATACTCTTCCAGTCTTAAGCCATACAATTTTTTCTATGCCATCTAAATTTAAAATACTCATCGTATCATCCCAATATAAAGTTCCACAAGAACTGTCTGATAAAAACTCTTACTGCAAACTGACTTTCCCTTTTTATCCTGGTTTGACAAGCTTTAAATTCAGTGACATACTAATTTTTACTGACATGACAAGACCCGTCCTAATTGTCCTCTATTGCAATAGTCTCCTAATTTAGAGTTTACTCTTTCACTGTATGTGTCTTGTCAGTTGCCTCAAATCATTTCGGGGAAAGATTAAAATCGGCCCGTCGCACTATGCGTGCAGAGTTCTACAGCAGCCCAGCTCATTCGTCCACATGGTGTTTACACCCTCGAAGGACACAGCTTCTGCATTCAAAGCGATGCTACTCAAAAGGCTCATGGAACCTTAATGGCACTGACCCAAAAGAAGCAAGCATGAAGGACCCTTGGTCAGAAAGTTCGCTTGGCCGCATTCACCCAGCGTTAAGAAGCGTCAAGTCAAGATTCGGATGCAGTTACCTTGAAGAAATTAGACTCTCCTCCCGAGTGATGAGGTTTCACTGCGGACACTTGGCTACTTAATCTCGGTGGTACAAACAACTTAACCGACTTTTGCTTTTCCATTTTCTCTTCCAGTTATACTTAGCTAATGCCCCAGAGGAGGGAAAAAGTGTTTCACATTGTTTCATTAATATGCTACACATTGGCGAGAAGGGGCCGAGGTCACGCAGTGAATGGCCTTGGGCAGGCAGCCAAGGCACCTGTCACTGCGAAGAGAGCGGCCCTGCACGCAGCCAGCGGGGTGGGGGTGGGGCGGGGGTG